GTAAATAGCTTAGTGCCTTTTACCCTTATAGCTTATATATCGGGGTCGTAAAAGAGGTTAAAGCTAGGGCTAGCTTTTATTTAAGCTTCTTTCCTTTTATAAGCTATAACCCTAGGCCTCCTAGTAAGCTTAAGAAAGTTAGTAGAAGGAATAAGGGTTATAATATTATAGGCTAGATACTATATAGGGATATAGCTATTATTAATCTTATAAAAGTAAGGCTCTTATAATAAGATAAGGTCTACTCTTATTTTTAAGGCTTACTTTAAGATTAATAGGTTAGCTATTTCCTACTTATTAGTATTATACTATATAATACTAATAGGGTCGTAGTTAGGCCTAGGGGGCTTAAAGGGCCTTAAAGGCCTTATAAACGTAAAGGAGCTAAGGCTATTAAGTATTAGTTATTCCCTTATAAACTCTATATTATACCTTATTAGTTATAAGGTACTCTCCTTTATAGTTATAGTATTAGACCTTAAAGTAAGAGTAGCCTTAGCTAGCTTTATAGCTAAGGTAGCCGTAATCCTTAGTTAAGTGCTTTTCTAGGTAAAAGGTATACTTAATAGGCTACTAGTAAGTTTAGGGGTTATAGCTAAAGGAAAGGCACCTATAGTACTACGTATATATAGTATATTCTTTATAAGCCTTAACCTAAATCTATAGACCTACTATATAAAGGCCTTCCTTTTAGTATTCGGCCCTTATAGCCTCTAAAGGGACTATAAAGATAATAGATCCTATCTTCTATATTAGGCCTAGGGTACCTAGCTACCTAGGCTATCCTAGGATATCGATCCCGCTATAGGTCTTAGCCTCTATAGTAAAGATATTTAAGATAGGGGTTTCTAAGAGGTTAGGGACGCTCCGGGCTACTAGCTTAGTCTAGCTAGTAAGAAGGTCGGCTAACTTAATAAGTAGCCCCTTAAGGTATAGGGACTATTTATCCCGCTACTTTAAAAGCTTTTTTACTATATAAGGGGCCTTTATTATTATAACTATATTACCTTTATTTAAAGTTAATAGAGCTAATATAGCTAGTTTCTTTATAGCTTTATTAAGCTTATTATAAAGAGTAATAAGGCTAATAGTCGGTATTAGTAATCCTTTTTTTAGCTTTAAAATAAGTTAGAAGTTCTCCTTTATATCTCTTTTAGCTAGGGCCTTTACTAGGGCCTTAGCTAGGGCCTTAGCCGGAGCCTTAGCTAGGGCCTTTACCGGGGCCTTAGGCGCTTTCTTTATAGTAACCTTAGCCTACGAGCTAGCTTTAAGGTTTCCTTAAGTAGCCTTAGGCTACTAAGCGGCCTTAGGCTAGTACGGGGGCTATTATAAGGGCTATTAGCGGTCTAGGGTCCTTATAGCTGCCTTCTTAAGTCCTTTTATAAGGGTCTTATAAAAGGGTTCGATTTTTTAGGCTTCTTTAAGGGCCTAGAGGGCCTGCTAAAGGAAGCCCTAAGCCCGGTTCCTAGGAAAGGGGTACTAAGGCTAGGGCTAGGTCTACTATAAGTATTAGAACGTAGGTCGGATAAGTATAGGGCTAATAGGGCTACTAAAGGTAACCCTCTTTTACCTTTTTACTTACTTTAAAGGCTAGTTAAGCTAGAAGTAGCTAGCTTAAGGTAGGGCTAAGCTAGGTCTAAAAAGGCTAGTCTTTAGTATAGGCTAGGTATTATCTTCTATCTCTATATCCTCTTAGTCTTAGTCTCGGGCCTTAGGCCTTTCTTCTAGGGTCTTTAAAAAGCGTTAGCCTTTTAAAGCTTCTCTTAAGCGGGTCTTAGCTTCTAAGGTACTTATTTCGGCCCTTAAGTTAAGGGGGGGGGGGGGGTTAAAGGGGCCCTCCTTAGGCCTAGGCCGGGGTCCTAGGTTAGGTCTAGGCTAGGTCCCGTTAGCGGGGGGTATATACCCTTAGTTAGTAAGGGCGGGGAAGAGTTTTCTACCTATATAGGGGAGAACCTTACTTAATTTATAATCTTTAGTAGTATATTACGCACCCGCTAATAGCTACGCGAGGCTATACTTAGGGGGGCGTAATACGCTATTTATAAGGGTTCTAGGTATATACCTTTTTTATATTTTAAGCCTAGTTTCGAAAAGCTAGCTAGAAAGATATAATAATATATAAGGAGGAGTTTAATAGGTAAGATTATACCTCTTATAAATATTAGCTTATTAAAGGGATAAGACCCTAGTACTTCTTATTTCCCTCTTTAAGTATACTTAAAGACTTTATAAAAGTATAGATTATTTAATTAGATATCCGTCTTAATTATAATTAATTTAAACGTTTATTTTTCCCTTTTAAAGTAAAGGTTACTTATTATATAACTTTAATAAAGATAAAGAGGTATAAAGTTCTTATAAAGAGAGATATAAGAAGTATATAAAAATATATAAAGGTAAAATTAAAAGTAAGGGGTTAAATAAGTAAGGTAAAGATATTTAATTCTTATAGGGGCAGTAATTATAATAAGGGAGTAATTATTATATTACCTTAATTATCTTTCTTTCCTTTATTTAACGCCCCTCTTTATATCCGTTTAGTATTTTAATTAATAAAGAAGATCCTACTTAAAGAAGCTACTAATATCCTCTTAACTACTAAGCTTTTTACTAGTTTTTCCCCTTTATTCTAAGCGTTACTAGTATATTTATCTTATCTCTTACTACCTTTATAAGAAGCTATTACTACTTCTACTTCCCCTCTTACCCTTACCCTTCTTTCTATACCTCCTTTTAGCTCCTTCTTCTTTTTTTTATACTAGTGTTTTTTAGTTTCCTCGGTCCCTCTTACTAAGGGATATCTTTAAGAACTACGAAATTAAGCTATGCTTTATAATAAGAGTAAAGAAATCTCTAAGACTTATATTAATAGCCTAAGACTCCTTAAGCTATATATAGAACTAATAATTAGATAATTATATAGTTAATTACTTTATTAATCCTTAGCTATATACTATATATACTTTAAGTATATACCCTTATCTTTGTTAAAGTAGCCCCTTAAGGTATAAGGACTACTTATCCCGCTACTTTAAAAGCCTTTTTACTATATAAAGGCCTTTATTATTATAACTATATTACCCTTATTTAAAATTAATAGGGCTAATATAGCTAGCTCCCTTATAGCTATATTAAGCTTATTATAAAGAGCACTAGGGCTAATAGTTAGCGTTAGTAATCCTTTCTTTAGCTTTAAGATAAGCTAGAAGTCCTCCTTTATATTCTTCTTTACTAAGGCCTTAGTTAGCGCCTTAGCTAGGGCCTTAGCTAGGGCTTAAGCTAGGGCCTTAGGCGCCTTTTTTACGGCGACCTTAGCCTATAAGCTAGCTTTAAGGCTTCCTTAAATAGCCTTAGGCCGCTAAGCGGCCTTAAGCTATTATAAGGGCTATAGCGGGGGTTATTAATAGTCCTAGGTCCTTATAGTTACCTTCTCGAGCTTCTTTATAAGGGTCTTATAAGAGGGTTTAAATTTTTAGGCTTCCTTAAGGGCCTAGAGGGCCTACTAAAGGAAGCCCTAAGCCCGGTCCTTAGGGAAGGGTTACTAGGGCTAGGGCTAGGTCTACTACTACTATAAGTATTAAAGTATAGGTCGGATAAGCGTAGGGCTAATAAGGCTACTAAGAGTAGCTCTCTTTCGCCCTTTTATCTACTTTAAAGGCTAGTTAGGCTAGAAGTAGCTAGCCTAAGGTAGGGCTAGGCTAGGCTTAAAGAGGCTAGTCTTTAGTATATTAAGCTAGGTATTATCTTTTATCTTAGTATCTTCTTAGTCTTAGTCTTAGGCCTTAGGCTTTACTTCTAAGGTCTTTAAAAGGCGTTAGCCTTTTAGAGCTTCTCTTAAGCGGGCCCTAGCCTCTAGGGTGCTTATTTCGGCCCTTAGGTTAAGGGGGGGGGGTTAAAGGGGCCCGCTTTAGGCTTAGTCTAGGGTCCTAGGTCGGGTCCGGGCTAGGTCTTATTAGCAGGGGGTATATAGCCTTAGTTAGCAAGGGCAGGGAAGAGTTTTCTACCTATATAAGGGAAACCCTCGCTTAATTTATAATCTTTAGTAGTATATTACGTACCCGCTAGTAGCTACGCGAGGCTATACTTAAGGGGGCGTAATATACTATTCGCGAAGATTCTATATATATACTTTTCTATATTTTAGGCTTAGTTTCGAAAAGTTAGCTTAAAAGATATAATAATATTTAAGTTAAAGGTTATAGACTATAGACTATAACTAGGTAATTAAAATTAAAGATAGGATTATAATAAAGATCTATATATTAAAAGCTATTAAGCTATATAGTTTAAAGGAGTAAAATTAAGTATCTTTATATACTTAGTAGTCCTTTATTAATAAAGCCTTAATCGATAATTACCTTTAATAATTAATAATTACCTTACTTACCTTAATTACCTTAACTACTTAGTAATCTAAATAATTACCTTATAGGTTATATAATATAACTAGCTTATTATATATCCGTTTTATACCTTTCCGCTAATAGTATAGTCCTATATAACTAATACTTAGTTGGTTTATAATATATTACTTATATACCTTAAGACTTCCTTAATCTCTCTTACTAAGGAATATTTCTAAGAAGTATAGAATTAAGCTATACTTTATAATAATTTTACTATTTCTATTTAAATAGCTAAGTATCTAATTAAATTAGCTCCTTAAACTTAGTTCTTTTTAAATATACCTATAGTATATTTATTTAATTTTAATATAGCTAAATATCGATTTATTTAAATATATTTAAAAAAAATTACTTATCTATAACCCTAAGCTAAGTAGCTTAAGATTAAGGACTATTATTTTTATATAAAGCTCTTAACCTATCTTATATCTTTTATAGTTAATAATTATTTTTCTATAAGATACTATAATAGTATATTATAGGTTACTATATCTTCTCTAGTTCTAGCGCTATCGATATCTTGCCTTGTCTCCTCTAATATTAATTCCGTTAGGTCTTTTTACTAAATATCTTCCGGAGCCGGCTCGTTAATCCCTAGGATGTCCCGCTCGCACCGTTGACTAAAATTCCGTCATTGCTATCAAGGCCCGAAAGCTCATGATCGTTGCCTTCGCCGTGATTTGTACTCGAGCCAGGGCTCTTGGGACGGGGTCGGGTCGCCCCCGAAGGGTCTGGACCCCCATCAGTACCGCCAGGGGTTTCAAACTCGCTTTCCGGATCGAGTGTCCCGCCTGGAAGCTGATCGCCGTGGCTCTTCGACTGGGAGACTTTCTTCGGCCTTCTCCCAGCAGAGTCTGGACCACCATCAGCACCACCGGGTGTTTCAAACTCGCTTTCCGGATCGAGTGCCTCGCCTGAAAGCTGATCGTCGTTGCTGTTCGACGAAGAGACTGTCTTCGGCCTTCTTCTAGCAGAGTCTTGACCCCCATCTGCACCACCGGGCGTTTCTAACTCGCTTTCCGGGTCGAGTGTCCCGCCTGGAACCTGATCGCCGTTGCCGATCCCTTGTAAAGCGTTTGGACCGTTACTGTCGTCGATGGTTCCGGAAGGATTCTGCTGACCGAGCTGAGTATGTTTAGGTTGATCATCATTGCCGGACGAGGAAAGCTCGTCAGGGCTTTTCGGAGTATAGGTTCCCTGAATGCCCGGATCGGGAATTTGACTCTCTCCATCCAGTGGAGTGAGATTATGCGTGGGTCCTTCCACCTGAGGACGTGTATATCGAAGAAGCTTACCATTAATACGTGCCTCCGTCAGGGGGCGAGGCGGGCTATCATGAACCTCACCCTCCCAATATATGGCATCGGTGTCGAGGTTTCCTTCCTCAAGGTGGTGGAGTCCGAAACGAAAAGCCTTTTGAGCAAATGCTTCGACATCGAAATTATCAACCTTGCCATTGCCTTGTAGCCGCCTGATTGCCTCTTTCTCCCAGTCGACGCAGCTTTCCGCATCACAAGGTGCGTTTATGTCCTGAAGCATTCCATGAATCTGTGTAAGAGAAGCGTCTGAACTTCCAATCTGGATCTTGCCAATCATTTTTTTGGTAGCGGTAGGATCGACGTCCCACATATACTGATAGACGAAGCCTGGTATGTCTTCGTGCCCTGTTTTTTGGGTGGGATTGGACACCCCATTCTCTTTATAACCTTGCCTGACCTTTTTACTATTCGTCACATCGAATGAGGCACCGAAGCCGCCAGAGTTTTCTGAGTCCACAAAAATCGCCCAGTGAAACAACCTTAGATCGTTGTTTGCCTTTGCATTCGCAATGCCAATGTCGGGCCGCATAAACAGAGTGACGCTAACTTGCTTTCTGTCTATCGAGTCTAGGTCCATCGGCTGCGGATCTGCGTGTGGTGGCTGATCCGTGGAGCGAGGTAACACGTGTCGTTTAGGCCAATGACCACTTCGAGTGGTAGAATATAAGCTTCAACTTTCCTCTTGACCGGTATAGGGCGATAGACCAACCTCTCTAAATTTACTTGAAGACTCCATCCATCATCTGCGGATGAAGAGAATGGCTGACCAGCGGAAGCCGGCAGCTGGGATGTGGGAGCTGCATAGGAGCCCAATGGCCATGCCAATAGCAAAAGTAATGAAGGAACGATCATATTGGCCTACTGCTACTTACTTGGCAGAAGTGTGCTTGATTGAATCAGAATGTTGAAAGGGGCTACTGCTGGGTTTATAAGTGTAGCGATACAACCGATCTCATGTATTTGTGTACCCAGTGAGGAATACAGCTCCGGTCTGCGCTTAGCCGTGGAGCCCTTAATACGTACGAGCATAGGCCACAAGGATTATTAATATTAGATCGGCGAGCGATCGCATAGCCAATCAAACTTGAGAAGCTTGAGGCCAGGATATCGGTTTCAAGACTGTATTAGCGTCTATAGCAGCATAATTGACGCACGATAGTCTTTACTGGTTGATGAGTAGCTCAAAGAGCCTATGAAGTGATAATCGTCCCGAAATGGCAAAGCCGATTCGGAAGAACCGAGAGAGTTTCCACCATTCAACAAGGTCTGTTATAACCATGCTACGAGACATTCAAAGCGGAATTCTCCGATTAAAAATGCGCAATATTATCACGAAACAAGGGCAGCGCATGGAGAGAAGAGACGAGCAAAATATGTCTGAAAATGGTGATTTCATTCATCTGAGAGACTGCAAGCGACGACCTTGCCATCGTATTAGTGTATAGTAATAAAAGCAATACGAGCAAGGTGCCTCCGTGGGGCTAAGCTACGCGTGGTCAAGTGTCATGCAGTATAACGAGTATACTGTATGGCTCGAATACGATAACATACGCGCATTAATGTTCAATAAACTCCCCTGTCTTAAGCCAGGCCTCCAACATTAATGTATATTATCTTCGAGAGATAGCGTAACAGTTAACTACTGCGCTACTCAGTTTGAGTACGGATCACAAGGACGAACTCCATCAGACTAAGTAGAACAATCGCGCAAGCTGCGGCATAATATGTGATTCCAACCAAGCTACAGTCGGGTGACAAAAGTTCCGGTCAATCCGGCCCACCCACCACAACGCCGCATCAGAGCCCTCTTTTCAACAGCACATTACTTTGCCAAATGAACGTCAATTATGAAGCCGAAGATATAAATATATAGAGAATTGAGTGGAGATTATTGTTGTTTCGGCTAGTATTTGGTATACCAGCCACGTGCAGCCACAACAGCTTGAAGGCGCCGAGGCATTGATTCTATTAGGTGATTGAGGGTATCCTCTTCAAGGTCTTCCCACGCTCCAACCGCTGCAAAACAGAGCTTCTGCTTGGAGCTATAGTTCTTGGAAGGTCTGAGAGCTCAGGTGAGTCTCCATAATGCTCTCTTTAAGCAGCTTCCATACGTTTTCTATGGGGTTTAGGTCAGGTGAATATGGCGGCCAGTCGACCAAATCTACCCTGTTTTCTTCGACCCAGCAGCCAAGCCACGCCTGCACAATGGCCGCCGTATGTGTTGAGGCGTTATCTTGGGCGAATGTATAGCCTGGCTCTGCAATTGTAGGTAGGCTTTCTTGTAAGGTCTCGAGCACACGGCGTGCAGTAACGCCACCACGGGCTGAGTCGGGGTCTCCTAGCATTGGTGTAAGAGAAGTCCGCCGATTAAAGGAGAAGCCGCCCCAAAACATCTGGGAATGTCGAGTAGGTTTTCTCTTGCTTGTACGTTTTTCGGATTTAATCTATCCCCTTTTGCAATTAGGAGGATTTTTGAAGTAAGGGTATTAAGACGTACTGAATTGCAAAACCCACTTCTGTCTCTCGCCGTCCCCACGAGCGATTGACGTCTCATCAGAGAAAATCCATGTATGCCAAAAGGAAGCTGGCTTTTGATGGTATTGTAGTGCAAATTGTAGCCTCTTTGCAGCATGTTCTTCTGTTAATTTTGGACGTCGAAGAGCGCGTACATGTTGTATGCCATGGTGTCGAAGGTACCGTGTTAAAGTACGTGTAGAACACTCTAGAGAAGCCTCACGAAGAAGCTGAGCATTCGAGATGAAAGGGTCTTTCGCGATGCATCGAAAGATATATCTTTATGGTGTCATTGAGCTTTGAGGGTCTCCCAGAGCGCGGCAAAGATTTCGCACTCGACTGTGTCCTGTAACGCCTGACGATTCCGTAGACAGCTCTAGGAGAAACGTCCTCTTTGACGCCGACGAGGGCAGCTGAGAAGCCGCAATCAAAGAGGGTCACAATCTTCGTCCTCTTATGAGGGCTCCAGTGTTTTTTGGGCGTAATTGGGCTCATTTTGAAGGCATGATGGTGATTTGAAGAGGAAGGGTTGGAATGTGGGAGACGCGCGTACGCGACGCGCTAGCGTCATTGACCGGAACTTTTGTCCCCCCACTGTAGGCACAGCCTGCAAAAGAAGAAATAAATTTGTAGAAGCCAATAACAGTGCTATTGCTGAGTTGTTCGTAAGTAGAAAGTGGGCCAATTGACAGGACCCAAGAGAGAGGCCACCTTCATTTTGATTAATGTTTACATATGGAAGCATAAAGTGGATCGTAGTATTATTAGTAGCTCCGCAGATATTAGTACCGCTACATTGCCCTAATAGCAGAGAAAGTGCCCGAAGTCGGGAGTTGTGCGTCTTTATATAGAAACTTAGTTTCCTAGGATACCACTCATACGCGGCAAAGGTGCTCTAATATCCCCATTTACTAGAATCCTAGTGGTATGCTGTGATGTAGGAGTCATTAACAATGCCGTGATTGCCCAGCTGTTTTAGCTAGAATATAAACTTATTCAGTGAATGACTAGGAAATCGATTAATAGCCTTAAAGAGCCTCCTGTTTCTCAAGATAAATCCTATAGAACAACATTTTAATATTTCTATAGAACCTTAGTGTAAAGGCTAATATGAAAGTATGGTACGAGTCCTAAACGATTGAACCTAACAATGCTAATAACAAATATAATACGATAGCTTCCTACTAACTGGCGAAACACAAACCAGTAGCTTGCTCGTATTACTATTCAGTATAATATGACTGGATAAAAACTGGCTAGCTGGCGGAGGTCTGCAATTTGCTAGGACTTGATTTGCATGAGCTAATACGGTAGCTTTAGGGCGGTGAGATAATTGAGGTGCTTATGTGATGGAGATTGATACTTAAGAAAATTTCTTAAGAAGGTATATGTTGGATCCACCTGTGCACTAGGCACCGATCGCGCACGTATAACTAATCGACCGCGCTAGTCACGTGCGAGTAAGAGGTGAGACACAGGGAGGAAGGTCTTTGCACACAGTTTGTATGGGACACGTTTCCCTAGTTACACAAGATATAACCAATTGAACCAGTTCGAATAACCTCACTGCAGTGAAGAGCCTGTCCACACTGATCAGTGTCGCCCGGCAAAGGTGACACAGAACAGCAAGACGGAAGAGAGCTAACCTATCGTCACGCTCTGCAAAGCGAGCTCCTGACGGTAGGATAGTTGCTACAACGCGCGGATTGCTACGAAGACTCTGCATCAGAGCCCACTCTAGTTATCCAACCGTGCCTAAGCTTTGCTGTCATCAGCGACCCTTAGGCGTGCCCTATCGCACATTGATAACCTCATTGACACCCTGTGCCCTGTTTCTCAGCACACAGCCTGTCAATATGTCTGACAATTCATCTGCCGCACTAGCCCCGGCAACAGCCCAGGATACCCCGGCCAACGTGTCTCTCGAAGACAGGCAACTCGTTGAACGGAACCTGACGATCGTGGAGCTCCTTCACTCCCGATCAGGCATTTCGACGCGGATTTCCTCAACGAACCTATCACCCAGAGCTCCTCCCTTGTCCACCGCAACAGCTTCTTCTTAGGCTGTGTGGCAACATACACGGTGGATAAACGTAACCACGGAATTGCCCTGCTTGGGGATCTGTATAACGACTTCACGGGATGGAGCTATGATGACTTCGAACTAATCAACCCACGCCTTAGATCAAGACTCCGGACGCTTCTCAGAATTAGGGGGATCTATATGGGCAAGGCCAACTCTAGCATCTCTCGAGCTTTATGTGGCCTTCTAACAAGTAACGAACTTCCTGAATGGGATGAGAACGAGTTGCTTGGTCAAGAGGTTGCTGAAAACACCGTGGCATATAAGGTGAAACAGAAGCTGCTCCAAGGAACTGTTAAAGCGGCTATATCGTCACCGGCACCGGTAGTAATCCAGCAGCCAACTATTACCCGACCGGCGGAACCGGAATCCTCAGATCATTGAGACCCATCAACCCGCTCAGCAAGAGCCTCAGCATCAATGGCGCGAATCCCTCGGTATCAGCAGACGCTCCCGTACGGACTACCAACTTCCGAGATGCATACACGAGCATTCCACCTGTTCGATTCGAGAACGAGGAAGTTGAGGCCGATCTCACGATTAGATTCATTAAGATATGGGACAAGAAACTAGCCTATACCGGCGAACCATACGATATCTTCGATGACAAGATCCGGAAATTCATGAGCGTGTGCCGTCAAGCAAACATTCCTCCGTCTAAATTCCATGGTGTTTTCCCTTCGATTCTGGCCAGGAAGCTCAGTCCTTCTTTCTACACGAAATCAGCACTGATTTAACCTTCGCTGAGATGTATCAGAAGATGAAAGAGCACTTTGACACCGAAATCAACCAGAAGATGTATCATACCCACTGGAGCACCCTCACCTTCAGCCGACTTCGGGCTGAGATGCCCGGTAAGTCATCTGACGAGGTCCTCCAGGCCCTTCTTACGAAATTGCGGCTCTGTAGGAGAGCACTCGGGGATAAGTCTGGCGGCGAAGGTGGCCTGATCGATGCAACGCTCAGGGCGTGCCGTGGTG